GCTGCTTTGCTCTCACTGGCTAAAGGACAATCGTCAATCGCCAATTCCAATTCAATCCGAATCAACAATTGCTAGTCTGATTCGGTCTTAAGGCCGGGTATACAATAGGTGTAGTAAGTCTTAAGCTATAAGAAATTGATCAATCACAGTCGAAAGTGAGGAGAATAATCGCCTGTGATTGATCAACTTCTTACGGCTTTAAGACCGAATCAGACTAGCAATTGTTGACTCGGATTGAATTGGAATTGGCGATTGACGATTGTCCTTTAGCTAATGAGAGCAAAGCAGCCAGCGATTTAATTGGCTCTCATTGGCTAGAAGACAATCGCCAATCCCATCCGAGTAAGCTATTGCTAGTCTGATTCGGTCTTAAAGCCTGTATCAGACTTTGTCAAAATTCGCAAAATTCGCTAAACTTGAGATTAGTAAACTTTACTCCGATTGATCAAATTTCAATCTAATCTCAATCTCAATCCTTAGTCTGAAACGAACTTAAAGGCTGGTTTATGCAAGGCCGTAACCGTTAGCTTGTGCTGAAATTGGTAAAATTCAACCAATTACAGTCAACTATTCTCTTCACTTTTAACGGTGATTGGGCAATTTTTATTTTATTGCATAAATCAGCCTTTAGGCTTACTACACCTATTGTAGATCCGGTCTAAAAGATCGCGTTACGCGACGACGAGAGGCTTGTTCTTTCTCTCTCTCTCTCTCTCTCTCTCTCTCTCTCTCTTTCTCTATGGCAATATCGCCAGAGTACCAGTGCGGTCTCCTCGTGATTCTGGCGTAACGCTAATGGAGAGGAAGGCGTTCGCCAATCTCAACATTTTACATTGAATGAAATCGAGAGTGTGATCGTAGGGGAGAAGGGGAACACATATCCGTTCAGCATCCACCGATAATGCTGCGGGCGCGAGCGAGCCGCGGCGCGCATAAATATCCCGCCTTTGAGAAACGCGCGCGCTTAAAATCACGGATAAAACCAGTTTCGACCGGCGGAACTCTACCGTTAATGCATGCAGCAAGTATGTCACGGCACAACATTGTTCGATCGATTCCGAAAATTATTACCGAGCCGCGAGCTCGTAGCGGAGCCGGCGAGAGCGAGCCGCGATTTTTTCGAGCCGCGGATATCTTCTCGGTAAATCAATCGCGTGCGTTTAAGCGTGTTTAGTATCTATTTTTTTGAAATATCGGGAATTCCACAAAAATTTTGAAGATTGTTCGAGGGCTTATAAAAAAATCCGGAGTCGTTTCACTAAAGCAATCGCAAGTTGTAGGAATTTTAATTTGCAATGAATTTACCCTTCAAGTTACAAAAAACGCGCGACCGCGTTGATTCAAACGACTAAACGGGTGAAAAATTAAAAATAAATTTCTGAACTCTAGCTATGAATAAGATCCTGCGCAATCTTTATTGTTCAATCTATACGAGAAGAGCATAGATTCGTCGAAGTCGAACTTGAGCTACCTTTTGCTACGATTGTACGTACGAAACATCCTTAAAAGCAGGGTTGGCTGGAAAAATCCAGGAGGTGGAATAGACCATGGTAAATCCCGGTTTTTACCATCCCAGACTTCATCCAATAGCATAAATTGGCAAAAATGATAAAAATAACTAATACTTAAGTAAAATATATTTATATAAATATTAGTCATTTTTATATTCTTTATGAAAAAAAGATGTTTGTTTTCAATACTAAATCATATTAATCACTATTTTAAAAAGAAATCAATATAATAAGTTTTTAATTAGAAAAATTAATACACATTTTTAAAACGAGAACTTCGAAGTTACTAAATTTAAAATTAATTTCTAGTTTATGCGGGAAACAATACTTTTTGCAGTGCTTTCTAAAAGTTTTCTACTTATGTTATCGTTTTTAATAGAGAAGACCAGTTTTTGCCGGTTTTTACCACTGGACTTTATCCAAAAAATGTGCAATTTTGCCAACCCTGCTTAAAGGGGATGAAAAGTGCGAGAAAATTACTCTCGAAATTACTCACGAGAAAAGAACCAGACGAATAAATGTTACAAATATATTTCAGGGAATCTCCATGGCGCTCGAATAAAAGGTATCTCATTTAAATATAGAAGTTGTTTGTCCATATTGTACAGACGCCTTATGCAGCTGATCTATCAGGGCAACCAGTTTCGTCCGATGGCTCTATACAGCAAACCAAGCAGCGTACAAGTTCGCATACAGCTAAATCATACGGAAAGTCATACGCCGGGTCACAATTAAATTTTCCAATCGGAATTTATCGCGGCGGAATTCGCGCATTGTTTCCCCTGTTTGTTAGTTTACGTCGATCAAATCATTCACTTTTGACGAACAATTCCAGCATTTTTAACAAATCGCTAATGTGCGTCTCGACTGTTGTTGATGCGACTGCTACTTCTATTGTTTTATCAGTCTTTAACTCCGTAAAAGTTCATTCTATGTTGATGAGCTATTATGTGCCATTACATCCTTTAAACCCGACGTGTTCATTTATCAAACCGTTACATGTGATATTTAAACTCTACAGGCTATACTTATTGTAAAACACTCGCACGCATGTTTTACGCGCGTTTTTTTCCCGCGTACTTGTATTGTTACTAATAATAGAGCAAATTAAACCGTAGAGCACAGGCTAGCTATTAAGCTATTAAATCTAGCAAGAAGTAATCGTGCTCGGCTGGGCGTGCAGTCTCAATTAAACATCAGCTCAATCAGCAGCAAGAGGTGAATGTGTATCTCGGATAATTATGACAGAGTTGCATTACGGCACAAAAAGAAATTCACACAATGTCCGCGCGATCGTCAATTTTCCTCGTCTAATCACGTTCCGCGAGGCCTCGAGGATATTTTCGAATCACCGTATATAAGGTCGTAAAAAAAAATCCGCTCGAGAGTAAGAGAAAGCGATTACTTTGAGACAGAGCCTGATTCGACGGATCCCCCCACATCCATTGGCAGGCCCAGGAACCGATGGCCAATCGGATCGGGCCCTGGGCCTGCTCTTCCTCCGCTTTAATGCCGACCAGTGCTGACTCAGGGGAGTCATTATGCAGTTCCGCCGAGTAAAATTTTCGAGTATCTTCGCTGTACATACAGTATTGGACAGAATGGTTGCGGCACCTTTTTTAATAACTTTAGAAACGCGCATTTAAATTCAGGTTTACGTACCAAAACATTTTCTCTGAGGGAAGTTTAGTCGAGAAATCGTTCGAGAACGCTCAAAATGGTTTCCGAATAGCCACCGAGTAAAATATTTCTCGGAGAAGACACTGGGACGTAACGCTGAATCTAAATGCACGTTCCTAAACTCGCTAAAAGAAAAAGTGTCGCAATCATCCATCACTGTACCTCGAGAGATCTTGCGAGGCTAGATTTAAATCAAATGAAACTTGCGCCACGTTTCTTTAGCAATTTGATGCAGGATTAGTCGTAGCACTGATTGACTTCATGGCACTTGAATGTACGAGCTTTTAAGGATTTATCTCGAAGATAACGAAAAAATTCGTTAAAGATATGCACTCTTCATTGTACCCTCGTTTCAATCTTACCTATTCTTTACCTATATCGCATTAAGATAAGAGATAATCGTCGAGGAATTTTCCACGAAGAAGTGAGTCCCTATACCCGAAATATTTTCACCGGAAAGCTGCATTTTGTGACTCATCGCTTTCGTATTGGCTGTTTAATGCAACCAATTGCCGCAGGGATTCTAATTTATCTCTCAGGAAAGGTTCTTCCATCCCTTCCTCGAATTCCTCGGACCGTAGTGCATTCCCTAATGAACACTTCAGTCCTGCTGTCGTCCTGCCCGGTAAAAGGTGCCTCTTCTAATCTTCCGCGTACCCCCTGTGGAAGACCAGCTGGTTAAAGATATTCGACCAACTTGCCACCGTAAGGATGTTAATATTCACTTCTTTCGTCGTGGAATTTGTACACAGTTGGAAAATTTGTGTTTTTTTTTTGTTAAAAACATATCCATATTATGTTAAATTAACACAAAAACTTGTGTGGACCGTTTGGGACATGTGATATCTGTTAAATTTAACAGAAATTTTTCAACTGTGCAAGCAATAGGAACACCGCGATTGAAATTAACAAATGTTACATGACCGCGTGCGCGTCAGTTGTCCCCAGTTACATAATGCGACTACTAACAGCGAATTCGATTGCTTGCACTAGTGCGCACTGAGTGCACACTAAGGCCTGTTTATAGACAATTTTTATATTTAATTTTGTCTTAAGCACATGTTCAAAGAATATTTAGCCAAAAAAGTGATCTGTATGGATACTGTACAGTTCATTTTACTAACTAAGAAATATTTCAAGAGATATTTAAGACGATCCCTAAATATAAGAATTGACTGTAAACAAGCCTTAGTGTGCACTCAGTACGCACTAGTGCGAGCAATATGCGCAATCTGCAGGAGCCTCATTCTCGAAAAATATCGTATGCAACGTTTCTCAAGATTAAAACCCCACGCTAGAAGTTCAGTCTAGTTTCTTTGAAACCGAGAAGAGACATAAGAAGGATCCTCTTTGCGAAGCAGAGGCTCGATCATGAATCTTTTTCCTCTAGTGAACTCGTGAAAAGAACTCGTGAAAAAAATTTCATTGAAAAATTCAATATTCGTCAATGAAATTGTTCACTTTCCACGAGTTTACGCTAGACGAAAGGATCCACGATCAAGCGCCAGGTCTAATCCGGAACGAACCCAGGGGCTCAATCGCGAATCTTTTTCTCTAACGTGAACGCGTGAAAAGTGAAAAATCCCACGGATAAATATTAAACTCGTCAATGAAGTTCACGCTAGAGAAAAGGATTCATGATCGAGGGCCAGCTCTCCACGATCCCCGATCGCGCGGCAGCGAATCGCCATTCGATCGACGGCCCCTTTCTAACGCGCCTTCCTCTTCTTCCCTCTTCCCGTTGGACTTCCGGCTCTTTCGAGTCACGGTACCACGGGATAACGGGCCTCTTCTTTTCCGTGCTTCCAGGGAGGTAACGTGAATGAGTGACGACGTCACGATGCGTATGTCGCCGTCGCTGGGGTTGGTGCTCGTGGCAGCGGTCACGCTGCTAGCAAGTGCGAATGCTAACGCGGAGACGTCCCTACGCATCGACTCGGACGTGGCTACGTCGTCGCCGTCGTTGCTGCCGTCGGCACCGACATCGCCGACGCATCGCCTCGCAACGAAGGATCACGACCAGTTGATAGCCGGGATGGAGACCACTCTGCTCCCCCTCCTGGGCTTAACGAGGAGACCGAGGCCGCAAGGTGAGGCCCACATCCCGGACTCCCTCAGGAAGCTTCACTCCCGTCAGCACGCCTTCGCGGACTCCGGCATCGTGGACATCGCCAAGTCGGGCATTCACGCGCGATCGGCCAACACTGTTCGCTCGTTTCCACACATCGGTAAGTTGGACTATTCTGACTTGGCGCGTACGGTGGTTGGGAGGTGACAACTCGCACAATTTTGAACGTAAATCTAAAAAAATAACGTTGCATTAATTGAAAATAGTTCAAGGTAATCTTAATTCGATAACAGCATTAATAATGTCGCATTAACGGCATTAAATTTAAAATAACTGAAGATAATCCTGTTAATTCGATAACGGTATTAACCCTTTGAAGCATGGTGGTAACCCACGTTACCACCTCAACTTCTTTACTTTTTGGCCATTTGAGTTGAGGAACGTGCATTTAGATTCAGCGGGTCAGTTCTGTATCTTGCAATACAGTGAAAATGCTACAAGCGAGTGGCTTTGTCTCTTTCTAAGGGGACGATTAGAAAGGGATAAAGCTTTCAGCATCTTAGCTTTAGTAAGCACCCTTACTCCCTTTTTGGGTGTCAACGAGCAAAATAGTTGCGAAATCACTAAGTACGGCCGTTCAGAAATTACTTGTTAACAGCGTCGGCAATAGAAATTCTGGTGAATGTACATTAACGGCTTGTTTCACGGATTATCCTTCTCAACGAGTTTACCTTACTGTGTCCTAAAACGACGAATGTGTAAACGCGTAAAATGTATTCTATCGGTACGTGTGAGCAAACGCGAGAATCTCTACCGTGCATTCGCGAATCGTGAATCATTGAACGATGGCAAGAACTAGCGAGTTGTGGAATTCTTAATTCGAAAACAGGTTGGCGACTCTTTCGACTCTCAGTGAAAGTGCAGTAGTAAACGGAATGCAATGTGCGTTGCCCGTTATCAATCGTCATTCCATCGACGTCGCCGGCAAACGTGAATGACAAATTTTCGAGCTGTAGGGCCCGATAATTCCGTACCCTTTTGCATATCGACGTGACTTTGTATGACCGGAATCCCGAGGCGATCTCTCATTTTAAATAACGTTAACGAGTAACGTCGATTGTGTCGCCTGCGTTGAAAGGGAATCTGGAATACAGAATCTTGCAAGGTTGACGTAAAAGCAAAGCGTCGATCGGTTACGAAGCACCTGTAACGATAATTCTGCGACGCATATGAAGAATACTCTTCTCTCCTCCGCTTTATGCGCACGAATTTCTTAGGCTGCTTTTCTTTTCGAAAACACGTTTTCGACACACAAGCGACACATGTCGCTTCCATTCGGAATTGAATTCAAACTCCATCGACACTTTTCGACCCTGCTCGGGAGGAGAGTGTTTTTGACCGAAGAACGCATCCGCTCCGATAGAATTTCGATAGAACCTCTTTTCGACCTTTTCTTAAAATTATTTAAATCTTGGCTATTTCTCAGTGGCAAATTGTGCTCGAGTGTGTTAACTTGTGTTGATTTGTGTCTCCTGAAAGGAAAGCAGCCTTAGTCACGCGTGTAATTTCGGGAAGGCATTATCCCATAAATTACAGGTTTACGTTAAGCACAACTGGCGTAATTAGCCTAATTGGCGTAACTGTCGGCATTGAGGTTTATCCCAAGTCGCTGTGCAGGAAACGTGATCCTCTCTTTCCCCTTGTAAAAAACAAAATCCATCATCATTCAGCGAACGTAACGTGTCGTAAATGAACTTCGCATATAAAGCTTCAAAGCTATTTAAGAAGCGTATACAAATTTCCGTTTTAGACGATTAGTCACAATTTTTCTTGTAAATTCTCATCGAATATTAATTTATATAACCATGAAATCGCTGGAATGCCATTCTTCTCTTCACGCAGGAGGCGAGTCGCGCGAACGCAACGTATTACGTACATAGGTACACGTTCGAAGGCGTCCCTAGACTCCATCGACACTTTTCGACCCTGCTCGGGAGTCGATTGTGTTTTAAGGAGCCAATTACATCCAAGTTCGATCTCCTTTGTGTAACAATATTTCGCCGGAAATCTAATGTACTTTGCGCCCACGTTCGAAAAACAGGGGACTGAACTATTCAGAAAGTAACTTTCTAATTGTAATTGGCTCCTTAAAACACAATCGACTCCCAGTCTAGGGACGCCTTCGAATGTACGTAATACGTTGCGTTCGCGCGACTCGCCTCCTGCGTGAAGAGAAGAATGGCATTCGAGCGATTTCATGGTTGTTCAACCGACAAAGGGCTTTTCGAGCCACAATGATTGCCGGGAACGTGCCGTGGGTTCCGCACTCTCGAGTGTCCCTCGGGAGGTGCCTCGGAAACAAAAGAAAAAGGGATCGAACTCCTTACACGCTCTATCTTTTCTGAGCGTATTATCCCTCGATGATGAGACCGCCTTGGAATGCCCGAAGGGACTCTTGGAGGTCCGAGCGCGGATGATATTTTTTCGCTCCTTGGAGGTCCAGCTTCCGTCCCAATGATTCACATCCGGATATTAGGCTTAGGTAGGCCGGCATTCCGATTGTTCTTCGCATCCCGGCGTCGTTACGGATAGCCGTTCGAAGAGCGGGCTTCTTGAAGCTAAGCGTCGGAGAAGCGATGATATAATGTAGGAGAAAGTGCCGAGAGCAATTAAGGAAGATACGCGATGGAAAGCGAAGCGGGCACATCGCGGGGGACCCCCGCAAGCCATTTTGATAAAAATGTATCCGTCACGTCCGCGTTGGGGGGTGGGGGCTAAATCGCCGAAAACGTGTTGGCACCAAATATCGCCTGTGTACCCAATATATTGATATCTGTGGGCAGAATTGTGTGTAAAGTAGGATAATTAGCTTATTTTATGAACAACACCGGTATTTTTAATATAGTTGTAACGATAATGACACTTTTACAAAATGACGTCGGCTGATCTAGCGACAGGGGCTTACGGGAAATAGTGTAGTTGTAATATTGTTTTTTTTTCCAAATCCAAGAGTACCATGTTAGAGAGTACGAATCAGAGAATCGAATGATGGTATTACAATTAAACGTCAAAACATGTTTAACAATTATTATTAACAATTAATTTAATATTAAGCTCACAAGTAGGCCACACTAATAGAAACGCGTTTCAAAAAATGGCACTTTCCATTTCGTTACAAAATTTGCGAAAAAAAACTAAGCAAACGCTTACATTTGCCAGTTGGTGACAAATAAAGTGATGTCTGTCCGTCATTTTAAGCTTTCCGAACTTTTTTCGGCCATTTTTGTGGCCACAGGGATAAGAAATAATAGTTAGGGTAGGCGACATTTGGTGCCACTACCTTGTTCATTTTCGTGCGCCTTTGTCGTGAGCTTCTCGGCCGATCGAGATTACGTCGCTTTTCGGTCTCTGAGTTAGGATACGAGACGTTTAACTTTGGTGTGACGCATAAATCTTGGTTGTTCGACACTTTCTATTTGTTCCGCAATCCTCGATGGTTAAATAAAACATGGGCTCGTTAGGAACTTTGTCTGTTTTATCACGTTTGTTATGAAAATTTGCAAGTAAAATCCGACGACACCTCGAGCGCGTCACCAGTATACGTGCTAGAAGAAACACTCATCTTGTAGTTTGTTTACAAACGACATTATTCCGATACTTAGAAGATTACGTGTGCACGCCTTCCAGGCACATTGTGACGTGGTGATTAAAAAAAAACTATTAGTATCGCGCAATTTCATTGCAATTGAAAATTGTAGAGCTAAAGCCCGTATCAGACTACGGGTTGAGATGGAGATTTGATTGAAATTTGACCAATCAGCGTAAAGTTTACTAATATCAAGTTTAACGCATTTTACTCTGATCAAACCTCAATCTAATCTCAATCTCAATCTAATCTCAATCCGTAGTCTGATACAGGCTTTAGATTTTCAATTTTCAATTGTAACTGATAGTTTTTTAATCACTACGCAACAATGTGCCTGGAAAACTACGGATTGAGATTTGATCAATCAGAGTAAAATTCGTTAAACTTGACATCAGTAAACGTTAGTCTGATTGGTCAAATCTCAATCTAATCTCAATCTGTAGTCTGATACGGGATTTAGATCTTCAATTCTCAATTGTAAAGTAACGAAATTGCGCGATACTGATAGTTTTTTTTATTACTACGCAACAATGTGCCTGGAAAATTACGGATTGAGACTTGATCAATCAGAGTAAAATTCGTTAAACTTGACATCAATAAATGTTACTCTGATTGATCAAATTTCAGTCTAATCCCAATCTCAATCCGTAGTCTGATACTTAATACTGTCGATGGATTAATATCTTAAAGTAATTAAGGTAATCAAACGATATGTAATTCAGGAATCTATAGAGGCGAATACAGTTCGCATTATATACATTCAATTATCTGTGAGAATTAAATGCGTTACAATTGCAACAATTCTAACAAATCCCATGGGAGAAAGCACGACGGTGCTTTCGTAGTTAATTCGCTCTGTTCCTCGTCACTGTTCTATTCTACGAAACAATTGTTAGGATCGGATTATATATAAAACTCTAACAAGCAGCTCTTTGATACCTCTGCTGCCTTGCCTCGACAGAAATTGCTAGATTCTGCGTACTTATGTAGGCATGTGTCGGCCGGTGTCGAGCGCGCGCGCGTGTGTGCGTTACGTAGGGGATTCAGCGACGTCTTACGAAATTTACATACGCATTACAGCTGCGTCTGTGCGGCTGCATCCACTGTTTTCGAGCCGTTTCCGAGGAACAACTGCGTCATACGTTGAACATTATTAGCTATTTTCGTAGAAGCGTAACTTAAATTACGCGCGCGCTCGCGCGCCTCGTGCGTCGTAAAATATTTGCGTGGGTCACGCGAACGGAAAATTATTCCGGCCGGCACTCCTTATTGACATAAATGCTGCGGGATAATAAACACGCCGGATAAATTCGCCGGCGCGGCGAACAGGAAATTTAAAGAATCGCCTCCTCTGCATTTCTAGGCAGCCTGCCCACCGGATCCACATGATTTATTCTTAATTCGCTCGCGGGCTGTGAGATAACACGCCTGAAAAACGTTTAAAAGTTTCGCAGAAAACGAAGAGGCGCGGATTCTGTCTTTAGTGCGACGATTTTTCCTATCTGCGTTGTACTTTTAATTCGTCAATCGTTTCTCCACTGCGAACAACCGAAACTTGATTTCTTTTTTAATTTAAATTTTCTCGAGACACGAAGAACGCTTGGTTTAATTGCAGTTACATTACTCTCTCTGCGTTTTATTAAGTATTCCTCGGTCCATGTTCCGAATCCTCTTTCGTCGATAAAAGTACCACTGGAATTGACTTGGAAGGATTCTTATTGGCTGAAAAGATTTTTTAAGGCCCGAGTTCACGATG